GGGGCGCTGAAGAGTCAATGATCTGACTACTCCAACCAGCCAGTGGGGAAACAGGAGGGAGGAAAGGCTGAAACAGACTCTATCAAATGAAATGCAAACTTGTTTGGCTCCTGGCTGACATAAACCAACTGTGAAAACACATTTCTGGACAGTTAGTGAAATCTGAATGTGAACTTGTATTCGATGGTATAAAGGAAGTCTTTTGAATTTAGTTAGTAGTGAAGAAAAATCATATATATAGTGGTTATGTGGATAATAGGCCTGATCTATGAAAGGTACAGGCCAAGGTATTTATAGATCAAATGATAAGATGTTTGACGTTTAATGAATTTCAGAAAAAACGGGGGGAAGAGTTCACATAAAATTGGCAAAATATTGAAAAATTTTGAATCTGAGAGGTTCATCATTTTATTCTTTACACTTTTGTAAAGATTTTAAAATGTTTTGTAATGGAAAGAAGGAAATGCATGTGTGTGTATATGTATATATATATAATTGTCATTATGTATTATTTAAACAATTATTATCTTTGTTTATAGCAAATTCTGTTTTCTACACCAAATTATTACTTCTCTTTGCAACAAATTACTAAACAGTTAATGAAAACATTTGGATTTTATGAGAACATTGGCATGAAAATAATTTTCTCCAACTTTGTTTGTGTTCTTTTCATTTCTTAGAGCAATATGGAAAATTTCCCAGCATATAAGATATTTTAATGTTTTTTCCTAAAGATGTAACTATATATGGGTAAGTGGCTAATGATTCAAGTTTTTATCTAGTAACAAATTCAAGAGAAATCCTATTTATTGAAAATTCTATCAATAAAATTATTTGTGATAAATTAATTCCTCCTATAACTCTTTTAAGGAACACATGTTTTTCATATTATATTTTTTCTTACAGTGAAAGAAGAAATTAACATGCATACACAATGCACACGTAATTTAGAGACCTGTTTAGACATGAGAGTATATTGAATTTGAATGAATATGGCCTCAGATTAATAAAACCAAAGGAAAGGGAAACTATTAAAATCAAGTCTAAAGAAGCAAGGTTCAGTTACACCTGATGTACAGAACTTTCTAGACCACACAAAAAATATCTTCATAGTCAGACTGAATGCTGTAAACATGAGAGTGAATATATTTTAGCCTTGCTTTCAGAGCAGTGAGATTCTTGTCTTGCTGGCATCATACTAAAAGCAGGATTAGGATAGGACATTAGCTCAAGAGGCTTATTTGGAAAATTGCTTAGGCCAACAATTTAGGAGGGATCAGTAGGTGAGCTCTGTAATATGGAAACATAGTTATCTATACCAATTCAGATTCTTTTTCCAGACATGCAAGAAAACTTTCAAAGCTAAGAACTGTATTTTGGGTAATGTCCAAACTCTGACTTTTCAAGAAATTTTTCATCAGTAAGTGTTTGGTTTTCCAATCAAATACCTCCCTGGGGAAAAGCAAAATCATTTTAAGTGGGAGATCCCCCAAAATAAAAAGTCTTTAAGTAGAGATGTTAGAGGTTTATAGCTCCCTAATTTCATTCTGATTTGTTGCCTAGAGAAGAAAATGCCAATTTCAAAACTGGGAAGATTTGAAATACTTTACTCTCTTATTAGTTTATAAAAGTTGCATCTGGCTAAGTTCTATGAAAATACCGTATTCAAAGTTGCAGAAATGGGCAACGATGATAATAATATCCAATAGCTGTTGAACACTTTTTCAAAATTCAAGGCCTCTGCTAGAATTTTACATATGTTATCTCACTGCAAATCCATGAGTACAAGGTACTTCCTATGCTCACAGCCTTTTTAAAAAAATGTAAATATATAAAAAAATAAATTTAGATCATTGACACTGCTACTGTGGCCATATGTCTTTGGGACAAAAATTAGTTCTTTGACAAGAGTCCACTGTGTACAGAACAGACATAAGGAAGACCTAGCAGTCTATGACATGACCAGAAATGCATGTTATTATTGTAAGAACACCATGTATTAGATAATGGGATAATATCTAATTGACGGAATCAGATTCCGCAGCCAATAGTATTCCCTCAGAAATAGACTCAAATGCAGAGATTCATATGCAGTAGGTTTACTGTGATGTACTCTTGGGAACAATGTCTGGGAAGAGTCTGGGAGGAAGAATTAGGTATGAAGAGAAGTTCAGCTGTAATGCTCTTGCAAAAAAGTCTCCAGCCAATCATAGAGGACTCTGAAGCTGAGATGGTGCTTCAGAGTTGTCCCACGGATATATTAGGAATTCACCTTCCTAAGTTGAGTGCATCTTATTTAAGGATATGTAAGAACATGTGCAGAAATATTATCTGGAAAATATTAAAAATATTAAAAACTTTTTAAGAGTTCAAGAACTTTGTTTACTTATTCAAAATTCTCAAAATATTCTAAGTTCAACATTTTTGTATTTTCCTGTTGAATTAAACTACTTTTAAAAATTATTTGACACTCTGTATCCCTAACATATATTTCAGCTTATTTTTGCTGATATGAATATAGTGTCAACAGCTTTATTTTGGATAATATTCGCCTGTTTTATCTTTTTTCCATCTTTTCAATTCTTACTTTTCTAGGTTGTTAGGATTCTAATAAATAGCATAGAATTGGTCATTTTAAAATCCAGTCTGGTAGTTTTGGCTTTTAAGTGTAGTGTTGAGTTTATTTAAATTTATCAGTGTTTTGGGCCTTTTCTATAACGTTTCTTAGTACATTTTTATTTTTATTTTCTAATGCTTCCTTTTTCTTTCTTTTTTAAATGTATTGATTGTTTTCTCTCATTTAATTTTTGTCTCCATTTTTTAAATTAAAATATTCTATTTCTAATTTTCAAGTGGTTACATTTTAAATTTTATCATGTTGATTTAGTCAAGTGTAACATCTTAAACTCTGTTTAGAAAAATACAAAATGCTGAGTGCAGTTGCATATATCTGCAGTCCTAGCTACTTGGGAGTCTGAAGGCGGATCATCTGAGCCCAGGAATTTGAGTTCGGACTAGGCAACATAGTGAGATCCCATCTCTAAAAAAAGAAAAAACCCACAAAAATACAAAGATTACAGAACATTTCAACTTATTCTATTTCCTACCTTCTAATAATTGTTTCTAGTATTTTAATACTATGTGTTTTTAATCTTCACAAATAGGAATATTTTATAATCATTATTTTATGTAGACAGTATTTATTGAATTTTACCTTAAAGCGTCCCTCCTCTGTGTTTGCCCTCTTTCCTTCTCGTATCTCAGGTATTCTAAGTTTATTTTCCTTCTTCCTAAAGTTTAATGTTAAGAGCAGTAGTTCTTAATCTTCTCTCCCTTAGAAGGCTTTTTGAAATATGTGGGGACATTTTGTCATCACAGTGGCATGAGGGCACTCACTGGCATCTGTAGTGTGAGACAGGGACACTTAAACACCTTGAAATACACCCAGGACTATCACATACACAAAAGGATTGCTCTGGTTCTTATATGACTCTCAGTGGTTTCAATGGTTCTTTTGGATATTTCATGTAGAAAAAATGCTCTTGATACGTATCTGAGTCTAGGATCCAACTCCATGTATATAAATAGATACAGTATTTATAAATAGGACCTAATTCCATGTATATAAATATAATACTTATAAACATGGAATTAGAAATATAAATATATAAATATAAATGGAATATTTGGCACAGTTTTAACACACTGAATTTTTCAGGAATGCAAAAGCCATGTAAACAAGAAATTTTGTTCTGAATTTTACCGATAATAGTTTATTTACTATTTCAGAAAATCACATCACTAATGGCTATCTTAGTCTTCGTGTCTGAGTTGTCAATATAACCATCTGTGTTAATTTGAATATACAGCTGTCACATTGCTGGTAACTCTATTTATGTGTATGCACAGACACGCACATATACATATTGGGTTTTAACCATCACCCACAAATAAAGTTGCAAATATGCCTACTCTGCTAATATTTTTTTCCCCTTATGCAGTAGACAATCAAGATTTAGCATACATTTCATGAAGCTACATGCCGCTAGAGCTGGCAACGCTGAATCATACTTTTGCTTCTGGAAGTAATAGCGTAAACATCAAAGAGGACATGAATCCTGGCTAATATGTGATGTGTACCTGATACTAGGGAAGTAAAATATAAGATTGGATAAAGGAGAATTCATTGACATTGAACCACTTATCAGTGGGACGGCTCCATACAGCCTGGACATAACCATGGTCTGGTGAATTGATCTAGACTGGTAACTGGATGAGGGATCATTAATATCCACTGCAGCTTCCTGCATTATAATCTTTGTATATGATATCATATAGCGTCTCTCTGGAATTCAATTGCATCCTACCATTTGCAGGAAAATCTCGAATCCCTTAATGTGCCAACAGATTAGACCCTTCCAGATGTCACCAATTTACTTCTTTAGCTTCCTCACCTCCTCTTTCTAACCCTATTACCTCAAGTGACTACACTTGAGGCTCCAGTTCTTTGCATGTCCTGTTTGCTCTCTCTGCTTCTTTCCTCAACTCCTCTATTGGACTGAAATGTAATTCTGGGTCTCCACAGCACCTACTTGGCACATTTTTTTTTTTTTTTCCTAGCGTGACATTTCATTGCACTGTATCGTAACCTTTAATTTCTTTTTCTGTTATTCATTGAGGGAGTCTTCTTAACTCCTAGCGAGCCGCTCCGTGAAGAAAGTGGTAAGGCGTAGGAACTCAATAGGTGTTAGCTGTCGGAGGAAAATAACACTGCAACTTTTCAATACCCTTCACTCTTCACTTAAGGCTCGTCAGGCTACTTTCAGTTTCACTTCTACTATCTTTCTTTTACTGATCACTTTCTCTTCGGACTTTCTTCCCTCCCAACCACAACGCGGCAGCGAGGGAGAGTGGCTGACCTGCACATTTTCTGGGTGCTCCCAGGTCACCTGGCGGCACGCCCTCCCACTGGGGAAGACTCATCAACGAGCTGACGTCACGCGCATCGCTGACGTTCCGTCTCCGGGCCCTCCCAGCAGATCATTTCTGATGTCTCTTGTGTTGTCAGTCGGGAGAGCCTGAGGTCTGTTAGTACTGAAGGCTTGCAGCGGCGAGTACCAGAGGCGAGACTTCGCGGACCCCTGCTTCCCCAAAGTAAGGTGACTCGTTTTCCAAAACGACGCGCGGGCAGGTGAGGGCCCACCCCCAAGCGCTCGCCGCGGTCTCCCTGGGAACGCCGGCGCGTGTGGCCGGGGCTGGGTGGGGGTGCGCGTGCGCAGTGCGCGGGTTTTGCTCGGACCCGAAGTAATGAGAGTGGGCGTTTGATTCCCGCAGGGATGGCCCCTTTGTCCAGCGAGGACCAAGCGATGGTGCAGGCAATGCTGAGGCAGTTGTTCCAGAGCGTGAAGGAGAAGATCACGGGTGCCCCCTCCCTGGAATGTGCCGAGGAGATTCTTTTACATCTGGAGGAAACTGATGAAAATTTTCACAAGTAAAATTGCTTTTGATGTCGTAAGCCTACAAATCATTAATCCAGAGAAGGTCCAGAGAAGGGTCGACAATATTAGTTTGATTATTGTTGTTAAAATAGTGCCCAACTTGGAGGTTTACGTTTTCTTTTATTTGCCGAAACGTCGAATTTATTTAACATTTATTCTTATTTCCTAAAACTTCTGCGGCCTCTCTCTGTCTCTCTCTCTAGATTTTTTGAGGGGGAATCTCGCTCTGTCGTCCCAGCTGGAGTGCAGTGGGATGACCTGGGCTCACTACAGCCTTCGCCTTCCGGGTTCAAGTGATTCTCCAGCCTCAGCCTCCCGAGTAGCTGGAATTACAGGTGCCCGCCACTGGACTCGGCTAATTTGTGTGTATTTAGTAAAGATGGGTTTCACCGTGTTGGCCAGGCTGGTCTTGAACTCCTGACCTCAAGTGATCTGCCTGTTTCGGCCTCCCAAAGTGCTGATATTACAGGCGTGAGCCACCGCGTTTGACCGCAGCCCTCATATTTTTACTGCTACAACCAGCATATCCTAATAATCCATTCCCCCGAGGCTTACCCAGGCAGCGCAGTAATAATCTCTTTGAAAGAATACTTCACGATTTAAAGGGATTCCTGTACTTTATTAAAAGCAATGAGTTCCAGCAATCTTAGCTCCTTTGCTGACATTTTCAGTGGCTGCACAAATTATTCACTCGGAACACTGCAAAGGGAATATATTGGACATGAGATCATTAGTTTCCTATGGAATAGTTTTTTAAGTTCTCCAAAGGGGTAAGCCACATAACTGTCTGTGATACGTGTCAGAAAAGTAAGTGACAGAGAAGGGGGACAGAGTGCTCTGCTCGTGGGAGCAGTAGGGAAAAGAGGTTTAATGAATGAGGTGCCATTTGAAGTAGAGTTTGAAGATCTTTAGAGACCTATGTTTTTCTTTTGATTTGGTTCATATAATTTTAGTTAAGCCTCTGAATTTACAAGTCTACCTCCAGGTGCCTCCATTCATTATTAGTAGTATTTTTAATCTAGTGTTTGCATTTCATTTTGATCTGACAGAGATGACATTGGAAATTTGTCTAGTTACACTACCTTTACTGACTCTTGGATACTCTTGGGTACCCTGAAGTCCTACTTACCTGGAATGCCTACCAATATCATATGTGCATCAGGGCATTTTTGAGTTCTTTAAAATTCTATGCACACGTTTGTGTTTATTTGCAGTTTTGTAGGGGAGTATTTATAGTTTTCACTACTTCGCAATTGAGTTTTAAAAAGCATGGAAGAGTTTCTAATTTCTTTAGTATTTCTGATTATACATACGATTTCTTTTGTATTTCCATGATTTTCTTCTTTATTTTCTCATTAAATTCACTATTAATACCTGTTATTAGATGATAAGATTATTCTGGAGCTACCAGAGACTGGCTTTTATTGGTTAGCTTTAGATTTATTTATTAGATTTATTAAACAGTGGATTACAGAAAAATTAGAACTTTTTCAAATATAGATTGGGTGATTAATGTTTTGTAAGCTCATGTAATGATAATTTACCTCACACACATCCACATCAAGCGTTATGTTTGGGATTTCATTTCTGGTTTTTATTTTACATGGAGTTGTTTAAATAATCTGTAAATTACTGAGTAAGTTTTTGCTAGGATCATATTCTGGGAATTTGGCCGTTTCATCTAGATTTTCAAACTTATTTATATAAAGGTTTTCATGAATATCCTGTTATCTTTTTAGTATTTCCAGTATCTGTAGTAATGTTCCTTTTCGTTTTTTGTGTCTTCCCACTTTTGCTCTTCATCTGTTATGCTAGAAATTTATTTTATTAGCCTTTTCAAAGAACCAACTTTTAGCTTTTTCTCCTCCTTTCTGTTATCTAGATACATATAGTTTTTTTTGTTTCATTAATTTCTGCACTTTATTTTTTCTTACGTGAGAAACCTTTAACCTTATTGTACTGGATTCTAGCTTATTAGTTTGAAGCTCTTTTTTTCTTTTTTAGTAGAAGCATTTAAAGTTACACATTTGCCTATAATTATTGCTTTAGCTGTATCCATTTAAAAATGCTTTTTCAAGTTAAAATTGGATCATTGTAGTTCCTCTCAGAAGTCTAATGACTCTTGTTATACTGTATTTACTCTTCAATAGCTCATTAGGTAGATTAAATAAATGCTTGTTGAATGACATGCACGGTTAATAGTTACTATTTACTAAAGCTGTTTACTTATGGCCTGCCTAAAAAACAATCCAGACACACTAAAATTATAGCTAGTTTAAAAGTAAGACTTGACTTAGAATGCTAAAAGTCATTTTTAGTATTAAAAATAGGATAAATTCATAATGTCTTAGCTGCACTAGCCAGAGATCTGTGTCTTAGGAGGACGGAACTCTTATGCGCGAAGGGAAAAGGGTTGCTGCTTAACTTTGGCATTTTCATAGAATTTTACAATCTCAGAGTTGGAAGGGATCTTAAAGGTCAGCTATTTCAGGTGCCCGTATTTTCATTTCTCTTTCTTTCAGTGACCTAACTCTCCTTCAACACTTACTGTTCTAGAGTCACTTATGTGTGTCTTCCTTTCCAAAGTGTTTATTTCAGAATTATTCATTTGCCATCTCCACTATTAGAACATTGATTCCTTAAATCCAAGTGATGTTGGCCTGTAATTATCAACAAAAATAATCTCATCAAAAGACTTATAAGGGGAGGCTGGGCATGGTGGCTTATGCCTGTAATTCCAGAACTTTGAGAGGCCAAGGCAGATGGATTACTTGAAGTAAGGAGTTTAAGAGCAGCCTGGCCAACATGGTGAAACCCTGTTTCTGAAAATACAATAAAAAAGTTAGCCAGATGTGGTGGTGGGCACTGATAATCCCAGCTACTTGGGAGGCTGAGGCAGGAGAATCCCAGCAACTCTGAAGACAAAAGTTGCAGTGAGCTGAGATCCTGCCACTGTACTCCAGTCTGGGTGACAGAGGGAGAGAGAGACACCATCTCAAAAAAAAAAAAAAAAAAAAAAAAAAAAAGGGCTTAGGGGAAACTGTGTTGCTGGGCTGTTAACATTTTTGTAAGAAGATGGTTTTTAAGACAGTTGATGTAATTTCAGGCAGTATAAAAAAGTGAGGGAAAGTATCAGTTGGGGAGAAACTACAGTGTAGGCAGTACAACCATATCTAGGCATTCATTCTATGGGACAGCTAACATACTATCTCTGCTTTTCATAGGCACTTCTCTTTTTCTGCTGTAAACTGTACATACTCTCTAAAAGATCCAAGCTCTTATGCTTTTCTCCAAGAATGGCAGCAATGATTTGAGGCCTGGTGGGAGAGGAGAGAGAGAAGAGGACGTTGCTTTCATTATGTGTATATGTGTTGTGTAAATTTTTACATGCAGACTGGCTCCTTATAAAGCAGCATTGCTTTTCAACCTTTGCTGCACTGGAATCATCTGGGGGCTATTTAGAAAAATACTGATGCTTGGTCCTCACCACAGATGAATCAAAATTTCCTGGGGGTTTTGACCGAGGAGAAGTGGTAGAGGCTGGGCCTTGGTGGTTTTAAACAAAGCTTTCTATGTACGTCTAAGATGCAGTTAGAGTTGAGACCTCAGAATTAGAACATAGTTACTGGCATTTCAATGAGATATGGTTATTTGTTGTTTTTTAAAGTACCTACCAATTCTAATGATTTTAATGGTCTCTAATGCAGAGGCTCACCTTTGTAGCCTTCTCACTTGATAAGTTTTTGATACAGAAGGACCACAGTAATATTAATTGAATTGGGTATTATTCTTTTACAGAAGAATTTACCAGTGAATTTTTAATCAGGAAACTCTAGTATGTTTAAGTGGTAACGTCAGGAAAATATTCCTTCTGGGCCGGGATCAGTGGCTCACGCCTGTAATCCCAGCACTTTGGAAGGTCTGGGTGGGCAGATCACTTAACACCAGGAGTTCAAGACTAGCTTGGGCAACATGGCAAAACGCTATCTCTACAAAAAATATAAAATTAGTTGGGTACAGTGGCACATGCCTGTAGTCCCAGCTGCTTGTAGGTCTGAGGTGGGAGGATCTCTTGAGCCCAGAATGTGAAGGCTGCAGCCTACCTCACTGCAGTGAGCCTAGGCAACAGAGCAAGACTCTGTCTCAAAATAAAACAAAATAAAATAAGAAAATAGTCATTCTCTAAGGTGATATACCTGTATGGAGAAATTACCAAGAATTATGTGTGCTTCTATAATTAATGAATGAATTCCTTGTAATTGTTTATCATGAGCCAAAAGCTTATTTTTTGGCCTAAAAAGTTGTAGGAGATGTAAAATACTTGTTCTTTCTACTTCATGGCCTTTTATACACTAATGTGATATATAAGCTTAAGTTTGTCATATAATTCTGTGATTCTGAAATATAACCTATTTTAAGAATTCCTCATGTCAGCATTATAACCACTAATTATAATTCATAACCACTAATAAAGCACTTTAAAAAATATCATTAGTGATAATTATTTTCATATATGATTGAATATTTCTTACTTTTATAAATAGCTGAAAGGATGACTTTTTTGAAACAAACTTGTACCACTTAGATTTTTTAATGTCCTTATGTTGTAAGAGTAACTTCTGTACCTCTCCATATTTTTATATAAACACTCTGAACATGTCAGAAGTTTATCATAGAAAACAGTTATTGCATTTTCTTGGAAAATATAAGTAGAAAGTCTGGAGAAAAAAGAATGGAAAAAGTGAATGTTCTTTTACTCAACTTGGTAATTTTTTTATGTAAATGTGAAGAATTTCAAATCATCAGTTACTAGCGATGAATGATCAGATACATTGCTGTGTATTTTAATTGAGCTGCTTCTGAAATGTGGTGAGCTCCACTCCACATGTCTTTCTTTATTAACGAATAGCTGCCCTCTTAGGTTTTTATGTCCCTCTTTGGAGAATATTTTGTAAAAGATATTTTGCATTCATTTAATAATAGTGTCATTGGA